GAACCGTGACTGAGCACAGTGGCAGCGGAGCAGAGGGGCGGTGGGAAGCTGCGTGTGTGTAATGCCAGGGGTGGGAAGTGTCTCCCCAGCCCACGGGGTGAGGTGGTTGTGTCCCAGGAGCTACCTGTGCTGCCTGCACCACTGCCAATGGGCTTCAGGTGGCCGTTCCTTTGCAAGCCCCTCGTGAGGCTGCTTGGTCTCTAACACACCATTTTGTGCTTGCATTGCATTTTTCTGCTCTGCCGCTGGACCCTGAGCACCCCTGTTGCCTTGTTGTCAGAAGTCATGCTGGGGTGTGCTGGGGCATTGCTGGCCCAGGTGCTCCCAGCACCTTCAGCTCAGCTGAGCCTTCGCACTCACTGCGTGGAAATACGTCTTTTTTTTCTGAAGTGCTGTTTGAATTGTCATAGCTACTTTTCAGTAAATCAATGCTTGCAGCTTGAGTGAATAAACAGAGAGGAGGCACAGGGTGGATGGTCACATCTCCAGCGAGAAAGGATCGATTGATGACCTGTGGTGATGTTACTTGGCTGCTGATCTATGGCACAGTGCTGTCCGTTTCTTTGGCCAGCCGCTTGAAGTCTCTCTCTCTAAAGCATTTATGTTGTGTCTCCACATGATAGATCCAGAAACCTTCTATTTGCAGTAGATGAGGAAATTAAATAGCATCCTCTGCACACTTTACCTTACACTTTTTTAAATAGTATCATGTTATTCACCTGGCATGAGAATGCCACTTTGGAGGGCAGAGGCTCCATCCCTCAAAGCACAAGTAAAGGACAAACCCACTTTATGGCCTCTAAGGTGCAAATTGCTTCCATTGTATTTATCACACTGAGCAGAGATATCTGATGACCCCACAAACATGTCTCTGAGGAAACTATCCTGCTTTGCTTGACCTGCAGCCTCCACCCAGACAAGTTAAGGAGAAGAGGTGGGTTTCAGTCTCTTCTCCCAAGTAATAAGAAATAGGACAAGAGGAAACAGCCTCAAGTTGCGCCAGGGGAGGTTTAGATTGGATATTGGGAAAAATTTCTTCACTGAAAGGGTTGAATTCTCCCCTTTGCTCCAAAAGTTTGCTGTGTCTGTAGAGAAAAGCTGGCAAGGAACTGGCCACATTAGGAGTCCACACATTAAATGCCACCCTCATCCCGCTCTTCAGCACCACAACCAAGGACCTGAGTTCACTAGCCCCAGGACCCACTCCTGAGACCTCCAGTGTGGCAGAAGCAGCAACATGTTGAAAATTATTAAAATATCCTCCACTGATCAGGTTTGTTGAACACCCTGTTTCACTGCACCTTCCCAATTGCACAGCAGGCTCCCAGGTCCTACAGCCACCACCAGAAAGGAGCTGCTGCCCTGCATTTCTCTGCCCATCCCTGGGGACATATCTGACCCCACAGGCATCTCCAAGGAGAGCTTGGGAAAAGCTGCAGGTTGAGGAGGACCTGCCTAAAATCAGGTTGTAGGAGACCAGTCCTCACTGGAGTCCTGCAGGGCAGGACCAGGGGTGTCCCTCTCCTACCATGGCCAACAGCCGGGTGCTGGGATGTGGGCACACCATGGAGGGGTGCAGAACATATTCCTGGTGTCTCTCCCTTTAAGAGCCTCCATAGAAAGGGTTGGGCTTTTTTTCTTCACCCCCACCCCTCAGTGAACTTGCCAAGAGCAGCAGGTAGGTATGATGGAAATCAAACACCGCTATTAATTTACATGAGGTGGGTGAAGTGGAAGCCAGAGGAGAGTGGGGATAAGGAGCTGGCAACAGGTGTTTGCCAGGCAGGTCCCTCACGTCAGCCAGGCTCACCTTACAGAGATCCCCGATTGCGTCCTGGAACTGGAGCTGTGCTGGTGGTTGGGGTGACCTGACACTCCTCCACCCCTCGGGAAGTGGCCTGTAAAGGGGAAAACTGCACTGAGGTCTTGCCCAGGGTGCCTGGGAGGCAGGGAAAAGGAATTTGGTTTTCATGCACCTGTACAAAGTTTTCAGGCACACAAACCGGGACTTAATTTATATTTTGCCAGTTTCAGAAATAGAAATGCTCTTTTTTCTTTTCTTTTTCCTTGGTGGGAAAAAAAAAATAAAAGGTGAACTGAATTGAGTAGCAAATCTTTTCTCAGCCTGTGTGTTTCCCTACCTGCTCCCACACTGCAGCCATCTCCCAGACCACGGCAGCACCTCGTGCTGCTCCAGCAGTCGCCAGTGACACTGGGATGAGCTGTGTATTTGCAGACTGGCTGTAACCACCGACCCGCTGCGGCTCAGCCCCAGGGAGATGGGCTTGGGGGGGTGCAGGGCACAGCCACCCTCAGCCCCGACCTGCCCCAGCATCCAGGGGCTGAGGCTCTGCCCTGGACTGTCACAGTCACCGTGGCTGAGGAGAGGCAGCTGCCTCAGGAACTGCAG